GTTCTAAATTTTAGTTTGAGTGGTGGTTATATGGAAGTATTCAATTGACAAAACTCATCTAATTATACTTAGAATCTGTGTATTTTATTGTATACAGATTATGCCTCAATAAAAAACTTACAATAGGAAAAAATAAAAAATAAGTAAAAATAAAAAATAAAATATTTTGCCAGAACCAAGGTCACTAAGATTTTCTCCTTTGCTTACCTGTAGATATTTTATGGTTTGGGCGTTTATATTTATATCTATGATCTCTCACCAGATACAAAACTTCATATAAATGGTGTGAGATAAAAATCAAGTTTCATTTTTCTGATTTTAATATGCAATTTGTTGAAAAGAATATTGTTTTCCAATTATATTGCCTTGGCACCTGTGTGAGAGACACATGTATATTGGTAAGTTTTCTCAGCTATGTCCCATTAATCTATATATCTTTATGCTGATACCACAATGTCTTGAGTATAGTAGCTTTGTAGTAAGTCTTAGAATCAAGTAGTAAAAGTTCTCTAAATTTTATTTTTCCAAATTGTTTTGGCTAGTCTAGCTCCTTTGCGTTTCCATATAAATTTTCAAATCAACTTGTCAATTTCCCCAAAAAACCCGCTGGAACTTTTGACTGTTACTGCAATGAATGCACATATCAATTTGGAGACAATGGACATCTTAACAATAGTCTTCTGATCTACGACCACCATATATCTCGTCATTTATTTAGGTCTTCTTTAAGTTCTCTTAGCAATGTTTTGCAGTTTTTAGTGTACAAGTCATACAGATTTTTTTTCTCTTAGGTGTTTCATATTTCCTTATGCTACTGTAAATGTTATTTTTTAAAAATTCAATTTCCCAATGTTTCTTGCTGGAATATGGCAGTACAGTTGGTTTCTGTATCTCACAACCCTGATAAACTCACTTATTAATTCCAGTAGCTTTTTGGTAGGTTCCTTAGGATTGTGTGCCCAGTCAATCATGTCAACTGTGGATAAAGACTCTTTTAGATCTTCTTTTCCAATCTCAGTGTCTTCCCCCTCCCTCTATCTTGCTTTACTGCATGGACTAGGATCTTTGGTCCAGTGTTGTAAAGAAGTGGTGAGAGCAGACATCCTTGCCTTGTTCTTCATCTTAGAGATAAAGCATTCAGTCTTTCACCACTGAGTATAATGTTAGCTGTAGGATTTTTGTAGATTTCCTTTATCGGGTTGAGGAGGTTCTCTTATATTCCTAGTTTGATAAGAGTGTTCATAATGAATGGTTGTTGGATTTTGTAGTAGTTTTTCTGCATCTATTGAGATGGTCCTATCCAATTTTCTTTGTAAGTCTGTTAGTATGATAAATAACAATGACTGATTTCCAAATGTTAAACCAACTGTGTATTCCTCAAACTCCATTTATGATGTTTACTATCCTATATATATGTTCTTCAGTGATACTGGTTGTTATTTTCTTATGATATCTTTTTTTATAAGTCTTAAGTCTCAGGTAATCCTTTATAGATATTTTTGGGACATATTCCCTCCTATTTCTGGAAATATTGTATAAAATTGTACTCTATTAAATGCTTCTTAGAATTCACCAGGAAATCTATCTGTGCCTGGAGTTTTCTTTGTGGGATTTCTATCAACTAAAAATTCAATTTAATAGCAGGACCTATTTATGCTTTTTTTTTTTT